GTGTGGTTATGTGGTTTCTGTTTACTTACAAAAGAGATGCAGGCGGCCAAAAGCAGAATCCTGACCAACAGATCTTCAAACTGCTCCACCACCAGCTCCCAGATGCTCTTACCTAAGGAAGAATGTAGTGGTTGAATTATTTATATAGTCAATCTTGACACAGGTTGACTTAAAACATACATAAAAAGGCATGTTTTTAAAAGGAATTCACTTTCAGTATGCATAAAATACAACATGCTGATAGTTCAAAGTCTATAAAGTTTTACCTTCTTCAGCTGGCAGCTCTGTGATTGGTCGGTTTGGTCCAATTGAGAAGATGAATGGAGGGGAGGAGATTAGAAACAGAACCATTAGAGTTCGCAGTCGGTACCTTTCACATCAACAACCAACATAACCTAGTGTATTAAATTAGGCATTCATACTGTTCTTTCTGACATGAGCTGAGCTCACACATAAGACTGCTTTGCTAATAATCTAGTCATTCGTCCTGTTTGACCTTCTGTTCAAGGCTCAAAATGGCCCCTGTGTTTAGCTGTCACTTTCTTGCTTCTTTTTCAGAAGTGATCTCTCTTACCTCTTACACCTTTCAATCTTGCTTTTGCAACCTAACGTTATTATTCAACATGGGCAGCGCATCTTTTCTGGCCTATTTTGTCTTTAAAGGGATAGTTCACCCAAAAATAAACATTCTGTCATCATTTACTCACCCTTCACTTGTTCCAAAAACAGTTTCAGTTTCTTCTGTTTAACATAAAAAGAAAGCTGAAAACCTCTAACCACTAACTGTTTTTTCTAGTATGTAAGTCAATGATTAGAGGGTTTTTTACAACTTTTTAAAATTGAATATCTTCTTTTGTGTTTAACAGAAACTCTTAAAGGTTTGGAAGCACTTGAAGGCAAGTAAATAGTGAGTACATTTTTATTTTGATGGTGAACCACACCTTTAGAGCTACCTAAAAATCTACCAAAAAAGCACTTTGGGGATTTATTCAGTCTCAATTTTAAGTAGATATTATTAATATTATAGTTTAATTAATTAATTACAACTAACATCTACATGTTTTACAAAAACATTTAAAATACTAAAGTTCTTGACACCTCTAAAATAGCTTGTTCTGTCAAATTCATCCCAACATTGTTTTACAGTGATCAACCATCCATCCATTCATATTCTTTCAGATGGCTCCGTCAGTTTGCCCATGCTTTCCTCACCGTTGAATCCGTACTTGGCTTGGTTCTTCTTGACCTGTTCTGGTGTGAGGCCTGTGGACTCGCTCACGCCGAAGTAGGCCAGGCATTCTGGTGTCTCCTTGGTGTGTGCGTTCTCCATCCTGTCTGCTCAAAGGGGAGACTTCAATAAAACAACACAAAAAAAGGATGAGTTACTTTCCCTCTCAGAGAAATGCAGACAAATCCAAGTACTAAGCTAACATATCCAGTCGTTATATTTTGCTTTAAATGAGAAGTTTGAGGGTACGCACCAACACTTTTTTAAAAGTGAAGGATAGGGACAAAACAGATGGCCCCTTAATACTCTCTCCCCTCTCTCTTTCTCTTTCTCCTCTCCTCCCTCTGGAGCGCAGGGCTGACAGAAAGTGCGAACTTCCACCCATCTCCGTAGAGTTTTATAAAGACACCAGGCTCACCATCGGCCAGGGCACACCCAGCGGAGGCCCCCTATTGGCCGAGACCAGACAAATATGGTAGGGAAGGGGCAAGGCCTTTGGAAGAGGGATGAAGGGATGTGATTGGAGCAATTGGGCGACAACTGGAGTGGGGGTGAGCAGCCTTGAAAGTGGGGTTGAAATTGGGGTCTGTTTTTGGAACACGCAGCAACAGTAGGATGGAGACGGTGAATGGGGAATTGTGGTGTTAGCATGAGTGACAGCTCAAATGGTTTTGGGATGTTAATATGCAGTAAAGGATGACCGAGGGCTTGGCTTTTTGTGGGGATTAAACATGTACAGGACTCTGTCATAATTATGTGGTGCAGGATTAAAATGTCTAATGTGGAGGCATGTTTAAACGTATACGAAGACTGTCAGGTCACCATCCTTAGAGAGGATTAGCACCTGGGATGAACTGCAGTGGAAAAAAACTCAGTGTGTGAGGGTAAAACAGTATTTCAGACATGGCAAATGTGCTGTAAAACAGACTGAGGAGGGATTCATTGCAAGAGTGCGGAAAGAAAGAGGCAAAGAAAGGGCTGTTAAGATCGAAATGGAGAGATTATTAGAGTCTGAATGTCCCCAAGTTTATAGATCTTTTATAGTGTTGACAGATTGTTTGGATGACTCGACAGAGATGAATGACTGGTCAGAGATTTTTCGCTAAAGCAAATCAGAGACAGGAAAAAACCTGCATGTGATTTTTGTCTATTAAATTCCTGTTCACTTTTTAGCAATGTTCATTTCAAATTAAGTTCTTTGAGCTGAAAAAAAATTGAGTTAAGGAACATTAAACAATTGATAAAGTAGGAAAACAGGATGTATATATTCGATATATGTATGTTTTTCTCCTCTTTAGTGTGTAATACAAATCTTCAGTTGCTTATTGTGTGAGAGGAGGACTGATAACTTGCTTTAGAGGGAGGATTATGTCATTATTATGTCAAATAAACTTCAGACTTCATGACTTCTTCCTTCAGACTAACATAACATGATCGCTTTTAATAATTCTAGTAATAAATGGTGTATCGTGGGTTTTGGCGCACATATAAACACATTATAAGTCCATCAGATGGGTAAGCTGCTGTTCATGCCTACACGAAGGGCTTCAGCTGCTGCTTTGCCCTTTGACCTTTTGGATCGTTTGGGCTTGTAGTTTCCAACAGCAGGAACATTTAATTCCTGGATCACATTTTCTGATAATGTTTTCATCCATCCGCATTTACTTTCACCGTTCATGGTTTTTGTCTAATTTGGCAACCAATAAGTAATTGACATTTTTAGTTGTTTGTATGGCAGATGCTTCTATTTTAAGGCAACATACAACTGTGAAATGCAGCGAGTCATTAAATATACTTTATAGAGAGGGAAATAATCATGAGTTGTGCAAGTAATACAAAATTCAGAGATTGTTTCAAATAGTACAATCTAGAGCAGGAAGGGATTAAGGAAAAGTGAAAGTATAGATTTATTTATTTATTAATTTTGTTATGTTTGCTTGTTTACAGGATGCAGTTAAGGGCTATCTTAAACTAAATATAAAACTGTAATAGTTATAAGTTTTCATATACAGTTGAAATCAGAATTTTTAGCCTCCCTGTTTATTTTTTCCCCCAATTTTCCCCCAGTTTTTTTTAACTGACCCATTTCTAAACATAATAGTTTTAATAACTCATTTCTAATAATCTTTATTTGATCTTGGCTATGATGACAGTAAATAATATTGGACTAGATGTTTTTCAAGACACTTCTATACAGCTTAAAGTGACATTTAAAGGCATAACTAGGTTAATTAAGTTAACTAGGCAGGTTAGAATACAAACATAGCATAAAGGGGCTAATAATTTTGACCTTAAATGGTTTTAAGAAAAATTAAAAACTGCTTTAATTCTAGCAGAAATTCTGCAGAACAAAAAATATTATCAGACATACTTTGAACATTTTCTTGCTCTGAAAAACATAATTTGGAAAATATATGAAAAATAAAAAATAAAATAAAAAGGGGGTTAATAATTCTGACTTCAACTATATAAATAAAAAAGTAGAAATGTTTCCTTGGAAAATATAATATTTACATATTACTATATTATAACATTAAATATATTGTAATATTCACTTTATAATATAAAATTACATTTTATATTGCTGTAACAGTTTTAGTGTGCAAAATTGGCAAAAAAAATAAGTGCATGAATAAAATTATGTAAAAATTATAATTAATTATAATATTTGTAAAACTTCTAAACTTAAAAATGCTCAGAATTGCTCAGACTTTTTCCTCTCAATTCAGATTTTTATTTTCCTCAGAAGTCAAATTTTATATTTCACAATTGACTGTAATATTTGTAAATTTTCAAATAGAAATAATAAAAACATAAGAAACTAGAAAGGTTGCCTTGGTAAATGTAATATTTTATATTACTAGATTATAGCATTAAATGTATTGTAATAATCATTCATTTAGTCATTTTCTTTTTGGCTTAGTCCCTTTATTAATCTGGCGTCGCCACAGCGGAATTAACCGCCAACTTATTCCGCAAATGTTTTACGCAGCGGATGCCCTTCCAACTGCAACCCATCACTGGGAAAAACTCATACACACTCATTTACACACATACACTACAAACAATTTTAGCTTACCCAATTCACCTTACCGCATGTCATTAGACTTGTGGTGGAAACCGGAGCACACAGAGGAAACACAAGGAGAACATGCAAACTCCACATAGAAATTTGACCCAGCCGGGGCTCAAACCAGCGACCTTCTTACTGTGAGGCATTCGTGCTACCCACTGCGCCACCGAGACACCTATTTGTAATATTCTCTTTAAATAAAATATAATATTACATTTTAAATTGCTATTTTTTACTAAAGGAAACTTGTTTAAATGAAAATATGAATTAGAGCTCAAATATATAATAATAAAGCACAAAAAACAACTGAATAGAAACTGAAAATACTAGATAAATGTTATAATAATAATAATACAAAAATAACTATAGAGTAGTATCGGCAAGTAAAACCATGGGTCAAACTTTTGCACTTTAATTTTTAAATTAAAAGTTGAAGGTCCAAAAATATAAAAGGTAATCCAAAATAATAATTAATAATAGTACATAAATCATACTAAGTTAAATGTAAATTTGCAATCAAAAAATAAAATTAGATAACCAAGTTATCTACTTATTTTACACAAAAACTGAGATTTCAAAAATATCAACTAATTTACTAAATAAAGAAGTAAATAAAAGTTGATTAATGATAATAATAAACATAATAAGATTATAATGTTATAGTACATCTTATCGTAAATTCCAATGTTGGTGTAAAACTAAAATAAGTAAAAATATGTATAATCTCTCTGTCCCTAGTACATTATAATACAGTTTATGTTATATTATATAAAATCATCCCTCTTGCTATGTAAGAGTGGAAGTGGATAGTGTTGTATGTGTTGATGGGGGCCTGCTGGTCTTTTTGGTTCTTATGTAACTATAGATTGAGCAGCAGTTGTGTGTGTCCTGTAAAAATAGATCCGAATTACGTGGATCAGCAACAGCTCAACCCAATTGTTACATTTTTGTGTTTATTTCAGGGCTGGTGACAAGGCAGATCCAGTGTGGCAAAAGAAACTGCAACTATTTAGCCAGTAAGCATTACGCTCCACGCACACACACACACACAGCTTTTGTTTAATTTCTCTTTCTCTACTGTTATATTTCTTGCTGTTGATGGCACTTGGATTATTTTTGCCACTGGCTTTCTGTGACTTGTCAACTTTGACCCCTTGGCCTCTTTCTGACCCGGGCCCCATCAGGTGTGCTTGTGTGTCATGCTTTTTGACATCCCTGTCGCTGCGTAGAATTTTTTTTGGTGTTGCTGGCATGTCTGTACTCATGTTGCAGAGTGGGTCGCATTTCTGCAAAAAAATGCAGTGGATGATTTCTGACCATTCACTGCCACCGAACACTGGGTTCCTTCTGTTATCAATTTTATGCAAAGATTTGTAAGGGAATGTTATTAAATGTATCGAGTACATTTTTTATATATATGATGATTGTGACTTGGTTCCTCAGAATTGCAAGTTGATAATTCACAACTGACTTTTTCCCTAAAAAAGAGTGGAAATGGAAATTCATAATTCCTCTGAATATTTCTGCAATTATGAATTTTTATTTCCATTTACACTTTAAATATCACAGTTCTTTATCAAAATAGCAGGATTAGGAAGAGAATTTTGATATTTTATTATATATTGTTATATTATTGTATACAGTTGAAATCAGAATTATT